GGGGGGAATGTAGGGGGAAGGGGATCCCGTATGGTGTCGGGTTAAGGGCGCGGAGTGGGGGTCGGGGGGGAGTCGAGGGAGTCGGGATCGGGGAATCACGCGGGAAGCGCATGGGGAATCGTGCGGGAATCAGGGTCAAGAAGGGCGGAGGGATCCGCGGGAGGATCGCAAAGTCGCAGGAGGGCCGGAAATGGGACTGGGTAGGCAGAGGGGGGAAGAGAGGATCGGGGGGGGAAGGAGAAGAGGAGGAAAGAAGAACAAAAGGAAGAAGGAGAAACGATGACGACGACGAGGACGAAGAAGAAGAAGAAGAAGAAGAAATGTGGAGAAGAAAGAAGAGAAAGAAATTGCTGGTAACTTATCTGCGTGTCGGCAATGGCAGTGGCGGCGGTGACGATGACGTGGCAGCGGGTACGAGGCAACGCTGACGATGACATGGCAGCAACGACAGAGACGACAATGGCGATGATGTGGCGATGTCGACGGTGACGAGGTAATGATGATGTTGATGACGTGGCAACGACGACGACTACGATAGAACAGGGCGGGAGCGAGGGTCGAAGCCGCTGTGATACCAGTGTGACGAGGTGGAGGTGGAGCAGCGAGGTCGGGGAAGAGAGAAAGAGGGAGTGAGCACGCACACACACACTCACTCAACTCGCCACGGACTCGACACGACTCGACGGACACAGACACAAGGTGGCAAAGTCGCAAAGTCGCAAAGTCACAAAGTCTCAATCTTGGTTTTGTACCAGTGTCGCAGCAAGTGACACTCCTTTTGTTTTTTTCCTTTTTCCCTCCCAGCAAGGCAGCGCATATTCCTCTTGCTCAAAACGCCCTCGCTGAGGGCATACTCACATTAGGGCCATTGAAATGCATCGAACCACTTTCACGGCCAAATCTTTGTTGGCTTTTCTTTTTTTTTGTTCTTTTTTTGTGAGTATGACAGTCTGGCTCCCCATGTCCCTCGTTCTTCCCGAGTGCCCTCACTGAGGGCAATACTCCAAAAAGTGTATCCAACTGCAATCACGGCCAAAGCTTGTTTTGTTTTTTGGGTTTTTTTTCTTTTTTCTTTTTTCGAGTCTGACAGTCATGCTCCCCCTGTTCGTCGTTCTTTCGAAGTGCCCTCACTGAGGACAGTACTCCAAAAAGTGTATCCAACTGCAATCACGGTCATAGCCTGTTTTGTTTTTTGGGTCTTTTTTTTTTTTTTTTTTTTTTTTTTTTCGAGTCTGACAGTCGTGCTCCCCGTGTTCCTTGTTCTTTCTAAGTGCCCTCACTAAGGGCAATACTCCAAAAAGTGTATCCAACTGCAATCACGGCCAAAGCTTGTTTTGTATTTTCGGACGTACGGATTTG